AACACTTTAGGCACAAGTAGTCAGACAATAAAAAAACAAACTGCATTGTAAAAATTTGCTGTCAGGGACCTCTCCAAAGTGTTAAAGAGAAATTATGTCAGTCTAGAGACTTAAAGTGTACATGATACAGGCCATGGTCTTCGCAATTACTTGCTATGCTTCAGAGAGCAGGACAATGACTAGGAAGAGAACTGATGCCTTTGAGCTGTGGTGATGGAGAAGAGTACTGAATGAACATACCATGGACTTCCAAAGGAACAAAAAGGTCTGTGCTGGGGAAGGTCAAGTCAAGCTGCTCCTTGGAGGCAAGAATTGTAAAGCTCCACCCACATGCTTTGGGCATGCTGTCAGGAGGGAACAGTCATGCTTGGAAGGGTAGAGGGAAAACACAGGAGAGGAAGACACTGGATGAGATGGATTGACACAATAACATGTAATGTAACAGATAATGGGGGTAGGTGTGTTAGACAGTGAGACTGGCTCAGGATAGGGCATCGTTCAGAGCTGTTGTACAGAGGATCTGTATGAGTCACAGGTGACAGGATGACACATAAAGACACCTACTTGAATAATGCAGGCACTAACTTGGTTGTTATTTTTATATGTCACTGAATCAAAACGGACCAAAGCTGATTGAATAGTGGATTTTCAGAGGCTGTAAACTGCACAGGAACAGACTGCCTATCTTTCTCCCAAGGATCAGAGGTGGATTTGAATTGTATACCTTAGGGTTGGGAGTTACAGGCTCTTAGTAGGTCACCAGAGCACCTTAGCTACTAACAAGGCTATTGAAAAACAAAATGTACTATTTACAATATATGTACAGGAAAATGTTTACAATTCTTGTCTGATTAAATATCACTATGAAATACTATACCTTAAAAAAACTTCCATAACAACCCAAATTGTACCTGTGTGTGCAATACAACCCAGTCATAATGGTTTATAGAGACCTCTGTTCTTTCCCCTGCTGTTGCTGTTAGGTGCTGTCAAGTCAAATACAAGTCACAGCAATCATATTAACAACAGATATGAACCCTGTTCTATCCTATGCCATCCTTATCATCTCTGACATATGTGAGCCCATTTCTGCACTCTGTCAAACGATCTCACTGCTGGTCATCTTCTATTTTGCTGACCCTCTACCTTTCCAAGTGTGATGTCCATCTCCAAGGAACAGACTCTCTTAGCCACATGCCCAAAGTATCTGAGCAGCTTTGTCATCTTTGCCTGCAGGAGTACTGGAGGCTGCACTACTTCCAAGACTTATCTGTTCTTTTTATAGTCTATGGGATATTCAGTACTCTTTTCCAACACAGAGCTCAAACACATCAATTCTTCCATCATTCTTGTTCACTGTCTAGCTCTCAGATGCACAGCAAGTAACTGAAAAGACAAGCGCCTGAATCATGCACACCTTAGTCTTAAAACTGACATCATTGCTCCTCTATAATTTGGAGAGGTCCTGGACAGCTGACTTGGCAACGCAATGCGTCTCCTGACAGCTGATACCAAATGTGTTAATTGCTGAATAGTTGACAACTTAAATCTTTTCTCCATCTTTCATGACATTGCTAATATTAGTCCAGGAGTGAGGATTTTTGTCTTCTTGATGTTGAGATGCAATCAATCTATAGTGAAGGTTGTAGTCTTTGATCTTCTGCTCCAAGTGTTTTAAGTCGTTCTTTCAACAAAGTTGTGTCATCTGCATAGGACAGGTTTTTGATGAGTCTTCCTCTGATCCTGATAAATTCTTAATTTACATAATTTAACCCATAATTTATATAAGTAAATCAAGAGTTTTAAAAAACTCTAATTTAGTTTTCTATGATGAACGTTATAAAAATGTCTACCTAAATAAAAAACTTTGACATAGATGTAATTAGCTTTCATTTAGCAAATCAGTATGATCTGCATATCCATACAGCTTAGAACATGTAAGACTTAGAAAATGTTCTACAAAATTTAACTTATATAATGTAGAGGAAACTCGGGTGGCCTACTGGCCAAGAAACTGCACTGCAATCCAAAGGCATGCAGTTCAAGACCACCAGCTGGTCCACAAGAAAAGAATGTGCAATCTCCTCCCACGCACTTAACTGCCTCTGAAAACTCGCCAGCGGGTCAGCTATGAATTGATTCCAACTATATGGTACACACAACAACAGAACAAGATGAACATTCAGAATTTATTCCTCTTTATAGACATGTATGAAACACTTTGATTTTCACTAAGTCCGTTTTTTAATACTCTATTGTTTTTCCATTTACCAAAGGAGCCAAACTGAATTGCTACCATTCTTCCTAGTTCTGAAGTCTCTCAATAAAAGAAAACACCAACTTTTTTGAAATGCTTTCTGCAACAACAATGCAAGTCCTATAAATTATCACACTCAATATTTTAAACAGTTAGAACCTGCTATGCTGTTTTGTCTTTATTTGTGTAATACTGACTATGCAAAGGCTTTTATTTGACTGTGTAACTATGGCTAACACTGAGACCAGAAATCCCAGAACACTTAATTGTGATCATGCAGCTCTGGTGCCTCGTGGCAAGAAACTGCACTGCAATCCCAAAGGAACAGGGTTTGAACCCTGCAGCTGCTCTGGAGGAGAAGATTGGCAACCTCCTCTTGTGTAATTAACTGCCTCTGAAAACCCACCAGGTGGTCAGTACAAAATTACAGCATATGAATATAAGATGTAGAGATGAGTCTAAGAAATCATTCATTACAAGATAAAGCAGTAAAATTAAAGGACTTGCTTATTTTCCCTCAAAAAAAGTAGCAAGAACTAGATCTGTGGTCGTCTACGTTTCAGGCCTTCTCATATGAACTAACTACTCAAGGAAATTCAGCTATATACACGACAAGTACCTTGTTACCTACCACAATACTATGAATTTATCCATATATCAAATAGGTTTTTTTAAGAATGGTTTTATTTGCCAAGGTTATTGGTAGTGAACATTTCACAAATACTGCTGTTAAGTGCCGAAGAGATCTGAACCTTGCTTGCCCTACTTGTGTGCCATCCCTCTCATCTCTGACACTCATGCCACCATTACAATCACTGTGTCAAGCCACCTTTTGGAGGGTCTTCCCCTTCTTCGTTAACCCTCCACCTTTCCAAGTGTGATGTCTTTTTCCAAGGACTGACCCCTACTAACAATTATGCCCAAACTACATCAGACAAAGTGTCTACCTGCCTCCAAGGCACAACCTGGGTACAACCTTTTCTAAGACATACTACTCAGTATATATTGATTTGAGTTGGACATGGGCATTATTTTGCTCAATATGGTTAACACTTTCTATGCTGTTGTTAGGTGCCATTGAGTCAACCCTATGAACCCAAGACCTGAACCCTGTTCTAGCTTATGTCATCCACACACTGACACACAAGAGCCCACTGTGGCAGTCACTGTGTCAATCTACCTGGTTGAGGGTATAGGTAAGCCTAGTCAATGAGCAATATGATTAGGTTTATTGTACACCAATCACAAGCATCCACTGTTTCAGCTTAAATACAAATATGTCACGAATATATTAAGCTTTACCTAGGGGCTTAGAAGGTGGGCCATTTTGATTACCAGTGGGTTAGGGGCTGGGAACCTCTTATTTAGTTGAGGTGGGACTACTAATGGGGGCCTTTTTGATCAACAGGAGTTTGGAGGCTGGGAGCCTCTTCTTTGGAGCAGTTGAAACCCAGAAGGTGGGGTTTTAATAATAGTCAGTTGAGGGCTGAGAGCCATTTATTTGGGGCAGTTATGAGCCTAAATCTCACAAATTAAATTTTTTTTTTTCTTTCAGACTATGCCACTTAATATCCTTAAGATGGTGGATTTAAAATCCAACTCTAGGATTAAATGTGACACAGATTTTTATATTGTCATGTAGGTTGAGAGAAGGGCAGCTCTGGTGGTCTAGCCATAGAGTCACCTGAAACGAAACAAAAGCCAGTCTTTTGTGGGTTCGGATCCACAAGCGGATGAATTTCTCAATCTGCAAGAGAAAGATGGACAATCTCCTGCCGCGTGATTTACAGCCTCTGAAACCAGCTCAATCATATGTAGATGTCGCCTTCACAGCTATGCGGTTTGTTTTTCTTTTTAAGACCCTCTGTATTACCAAATCAACGCAGTGAATTTTGCTGCCACTCTTTATGAAATCTTCAAGATATGACGTCCTACTCTGAAAACTGCTAAGGTTCCCCTAACAGTGTGGAAGGAATAAATCTAAAGGGGAGGAGGCAATCAATCCCAGCAAACTGATGGAGCTCTCGCTCTGGCTGGCAACAGGGGAACTAAGACTTCCGGCTTGCAGCCTAAGGCTGAATGTCCACAGTAACGATTATCAAAGTTACTCCCACTTCCCACCCTGGTTATCTCTTAAGCAGAAGGGAGGTGGGGGGGGGCGGGAGATAGAGAAAAAGGTGAGCAGGAGAAAAATGCAAATGTGGCCCCCCGCCATGGCCTGTGCGCGCTGGCCCTGGAATTTTCCAAAGCCCCAGGACGATCTCCAGCCTCGGCGGACGCGCCCCTGGACGCCGGGGCAGCTCGGGGCGCAGCCGGCAGCGCAGCGCTCGGAAGCCGGCGGGCGGGC